CTGTTTGTACACAATATACTCACTGGCATCAGCCATGTCAGGAATCAATCTGGCAATTCAGAGTTTATGTGACAATATTAACTTTTTAAGTCATGCTTCTGAACAAAAACATTCTTTCCTGCTGCTGCCTGCATTATAGCACCCTCTGTCGGTACAAGCTCTTTAAACCTAGAATTTATAATTTTTACCTAAAATGACTTTATTCATACTTTTAAAAATGCTTTCAAATTGCTTTGGAAAATACCAAACAAATGATGATCATTCAAATATATTATAGCAGTTTATGTTTAACTTGTTAACCTTTTATTTGTTTACTGTTAATTCATAAAAAATGTGAGCTCAGACAGATCACAGACATCGTTACTAAAAATATATCCACATTAAGATGCCACTTGAATACTTCTTGAAAACTATCAATTTCCATGATTCCATGGGTCATTTTGATGTAATTCAATCACCGTTTCCTTCTCTCTCTCTGTTAAACCTATTCTGTCAGCCTATTGCATGTTTTGGAGTCGGTATAGTCCAGATAACAATTATTGGATAACTATATTAGTTAACCAAATTTCAATAACTGATGATTAGTTGTGAATAACTTATTTCAGCATTATAAAAACACATTACTTATATTACTTATCCATTTTCCATGTTGGTCCATCAGAATATAAAGCAAAAGACATTTGTCTTCAGAGGTCAGTGTAATGTGAAATGCCACATTTCTGAAAAGATATTATTCAGCTGTGTTGGTTCTAATGAGGTAGTAACAGCAGGACCCAGGTTCAACACCAGAGCATAGTCTCTTTGTTTGTCAGGGCCATCTCCAATCAATAGCTTAAGTCACAATTAGGGACCCACTCATCACTGTAGAAAAGCAGGACTCTAAATGCTTTTGCCAATCACATCTCTTATTTGCACTGGCAAACCTTTATTTCAACATGAACACATGTTTTCTCATTGTTCTCTGATACTGACACTTCTTGCAGTTTCTAAAGTTAACATTAAAAATAGTTTCTGTATCAGAGTGTGTACTTCTATCCACCACACTCAGATACAAAATCCCAAATGAGTCTTTCTGGAGCATAACCCTCCATTACCATAAATACTACTCAAGTGTCAGTGCCAACATGCCCAGAGACAAACCCCAGCATTTCCCAGAGCTGCACTGAACTGAATACTGTCATTTAGAGCCACCACTTTGGCTTAGGGTGAACAGGTCATTGTGGCTCATCTACTCCACACGTGGTCACAAGCCATTACCCTACTGAATTAAACATAGTGGCTAATAGGAGGAGTGCTGTTTACAAACCACCTGTTCTGATTGAATCCTGGTTTGAAATCCACCTGGTGCCTCTTGCTTCATTCACAAAAAAACTGATTTCTACCGCGCAAAGAATCTGAGCCATATCCTAACAGAAGCAACCCAAAAAAAAAAAAAAAAAAACAAGAGATGATGCAGTCCTGTTACATATAACATTTTGTATGAAACAGCAGTGCGATGGAGACACAAACAAAGGTGGCTTTATTCTAGCTAGTCTAGTGGATGCAGACGACGACTCAACAGAAGGAACGATGATCAAATGTGCAAGCGTTTGACATGGGCACAAACAAAGGCATAAGATGAGACAGCCATGGACATATGAATCACCAAGTAACGCCATACATTGCAGTCAGCTACCACCAGCAGCTATTAAATATGCACGCATTTCTGCAAACCATTGATCATTCAGTTTAAAAATATCAAACATCAACGCGGAGCTATGATAAGCTAGTAGCGATGAAGCTAATGGCAGGGCATCTTTTCATTTGCTATTTATAGGTAGCGTGATTGTGAATTAAAAAACAAATATAAAACACTTACCGCTTATTTGGTCTCGTTCAAGTGATACAGGAGTAATTTTATACTCCAAAATGTCGCCACATATGAAAAAATCCTCACACGCTAGCTAAAAAATAGGCTAATTTCAAATGGTTAAAAATCCCAGGTGGTTTGATAAAGTCCGTCCAATCCGCATCCATGAAATACAACGTTACGAAACCGAAAATGTGGTAAATTCTGGACTAAAACGGGGAGCAGAGGAGATGGGATCGCTGTTAAAGGAAAAGAGGCTGTCTTCTTCAGCAGGTATGTATGAATCGGGGTATCCGCAGCGTCGTCTTTTTCTTCTTCCCCCCGAAGCATCCGTGAGTGAAGGCCGCCGTGCCGTGCGTCCCCGTCGGTCACTCCTCCTCCGCTGCTCCCGCTCCCTCACCGTAGCCCCCAGTCTCCAACCAACGCTGTTGAACGGGGACAAGAAAGAAAGCGGTGGCCGTGTGTGGAGCAGCTAGTTACGGGTGTGGGAGGGTGGAAGGTGGCAGGAGGGAGCTGTGGGCTGGTGGGTGGACGAGTGGGTGGGTAGCTGGAGCTGACCCTTCGCAGTCACATGGGGAACACCGCGCACATTTTCAGCCTTTCTCTTCTAGCATCATTATGTCCAAGAATGTTACTGTGCGTGCGTGGTGCTGTCCCTGGTGCTAAAGCAGAGACAGCAGCAGCAGCAGTCACATTAGTACTGTATGTTAATCTACCCATGAACGCGAGTCTACCGTGCTTTTCTAGTCATGTTGGCCATTAATCTACCCTACATATTGTGGCCAAATGGATTAAAGGCATTTTACAGTAAAGCCATGATATCATCTGTTTTATAGCCATTTTTGAACATTTATATGGGCTATTGTACAAAAGCACAGCATATTTTTACTGCAGTAGGTTAACCAAATGGACTATTTATAGCCAGCACAGTTAGATAGCCTATATAAGATGAATATTATTCAAGTCCCATCACTCTCCATCTCTTCAGGATAGCAATGCATTTGACAGACCGTTTTTCTTAACATGCAGTGTCCTATAAAATCGACAAGGCTATGAAATAGTGATTCATACCTGTGTAATAGGTTTTGGAAGCAACCATAGCCTATCTTTGAATGGACTAAATAATTCCTTAGTATGCGATATATGGCTTAAGCTATTTATACATCAAGATCTCATTTCTGTAGCCAAGATGAGCGAGGATATTGTGGTTTATTCTCACTGTGTTTAAAAAAAAGGTCCTGTCACTGAAGCTGTTTAATGTCAGTGTCTTCTGGTGGCCCCCAAAACTGCAACGCTCCAATTAGAGCAGGGGCTGGTGTGTACACCCCTCGTGGGTCTACAGGGATGGTACATTTGTGCATGGGCGTAGCTGCAACAACAAAGTGCTAGTGGTGAGAGTCTTGTGGGGATGATGGTGTTTTAGGGAGGGCTGAGCAGTTCTGAGAAGAGCATGCTACTCATTACAAGCAGTTAGTGGTAATGAAAAGCCCTGCCATGTTGTTAGTCTAGTTCCACTATTTTGCACTGTGGCTGTGAAAGTATTGCAGTGAAGCATTTTCAGGAACAAGTGGAAGCTAAGAATTAAATTTACCCTCTGCACATATTTGACCATTGATCTGTGACTGTATTCAGGCCATAAAGAGTTTATTTGGATGAATAGTCTAGTCTGCAAACGCATTTTGAATAACTTTTCAGAGAAGTGGTGATACCCCTGTAAGCAAGAAGTTAGTGGCAGTCCGAAGCCTAAAAAAAATTCCTCCTCTTTTTAGGTTATTTAGTCTATACTACACTAGGAGTCATCACAGCAAAGTGTGCAATTAATTGTTGTGCATTATCATACCCTTTATCTATGGAAAAATTCCAGATATATAATTTACTGTATTTAGGAAAGCTATACCTCGATGAGTTTGTACATAAACTGAGACACACCCAACCTGTTTACGCCCAGGGCCCCAGCTGCCCAGTGCAGAGATCACCCACAATCCTCTGTGACAAAAGGAAGAGCTGAGCGCAGGATGTGGAGATGCCATCGGCTGCCTCTGTGAGTCTAGCACAGTGCTTTCTGCAGATAACAGCAGTTTAGACTAAACCCCCCTCTGTCTGCTCACTATAGACCGAACTGGATGGGGTCACCACAAGTGTAACTGGTGCAACTCCAGCCTTTGGTGAAGTTAGTGAGAGGGTTCATAACTAAGTATCATGGGTATTTTTCCCAGGACAATGTGTGTGTCCAAATATGCCCCACACTAAAGCTGAATCATATGACTGCAGTTCTGAGAAATGATCGTCTCTGTATGGACCACTCACCAAAAATGTCACAGGAAGGCCGAGTATGGCTCAATGTAAAACAATATAGACCAGACAATAAGCATGTAGCAGTGGGCAACTAATGTAGTTGCTCCATAAACTAGTTGGTATGATATGTTGTAAGTAGTAACATTTCTTTCTCATGCATCTTTAAGCAATAGTTTTTATCTCTTTTTTATGTGGAAAGTTTTACCTTTACATCTGGTTTTGTTCTTAAGTCACCACTATCCCAGTGCTATTGTCCGGTCATGGTGACCTACTAAAAGATATTTATATCCTCACAACTCTTTCTGAGAAGTCTCCAAGGTCAAACATGCTATTTCTGCTTCTTTTACATCAATCCCACCCTCTTTCCTCTCGCTCTTCTCCTAAACTAGTTGCTAGAGGTCACACTGCTGTTCCAGTTTCAAATTACATCATAATGAGATGGACTGAAACCAGGACAGTGAGAAACTGCAGTCGCACCAAAGCTTGACTCATAGAGATCTAAGCACAAGGAGCAACAACTGTTGAGACTGACTCACAGATGGACAGGATATAAGTTAGAGCAGGAATATGAAGCAGGTGGGCCATGTATACCCTAAAATGAAATATCATCTTTCAGTCCCTCATAAAGAGAATTAACAGTTTTGTAAAATAACCAAGTTACCAAGAGACTTCACCATCACTCAGTGTACAGTATTAAATTTATAATGGACAAAGAGCTCCCCCTGATGGTTATCTATATAAATAGCATAATCAGAATGTAATGGGAAAACATTTTTTTTCTGTTCTGGCTGGAGGTGAGGCAGGCAACAAATGACTTAAAGCTTCGTATAAAGAAAGACCACTCAAGTATACAAAATTAAATTTTGACATCTTTCTTTTTAATTTAAATTCTTTGGTTTTGTAAATAACTTGATGTAACAATCCTGAAACAGATGTCAAACTGATTAGAAAAAGCTACTTGACCAACTATTTTTGGGAATCCTCTCTGCTAAGTGCATGACCTTATGGCTATAGCTAACAAACTCATAAAGAACTTCTGCTTGTCCATTATGATGCATAATCAAAAGGCACTTGCTCAACTGTACTGTACATCTTTTACAAAACAAAGTTTAAACAGAAACTTGCAAATAAAACATGAAACAAATTACAAGGTAGACGGCTACAGGAATGTAATATTAAATATAGACTTACAAAGAAAGTAAGTCTTGTGTTTTAAAACTGTGACATGGCTAACATAGGAACAACAGATCAATGACAATTACAAAAGTGCATATTTGAAGCTTAAAAAACACTAACAAAAACACTAACAAACAATAATTACAAAATCAACAAATGATTGTGTTAAAAGTCTGTTCATGCGTCAATGACTGAAGGCCTTATTGAATTGTCCCAGTTGTGAAGAGGCAGGTGCAGCTTTTGCCTCGTGGGGGTGAGTTGTGTGGATAATTGGTGGAGGTTATCGGCTTCTTCTGCGAATGCAGATGTTGGATCTTCGTGTGGGCACAAATCCGTGTTTGCAGTAGCACTTGTATGAGCCGGCCGTGTTCACACAGCGAGCATTTTTACACGGACTGAGTCGGACTCCAGGCTCACCGCACTCATCAATGTCTGAAACACAGAGAACAACCACAGGCATTTAATATGGAAACACTCCACCATGGATTTGTTTACAATGGATTTCTTTGGATATAGCATTCTCTACCCCACTGATGGTTTCTAGTGTTGTGGGGGTCTTTACAAAATACGTCTTAGGGACACTTAGTTTGCAATCAGAGACTCTGTATTTCATAAAGATCACTGCCACAGTCTTATTTTAATACAACTACAATACCAGATAACATCTGTGTAGGTCATTAAATAGATTACATGCATTTTATTGAGATATGGTCAATATTTGTCTCTGCACACAACCATCAGTTAATAAAATAAAGTTTTAGAAAACATTTAACTGAATTAAATGCTTAATTATACTAAATATGAGCCTCGAGTGTTTGATGCTGCCATATGCATTTGTACATTTTCTTATGGTTGAAAATGATGCTGGACAAGAGCCCTGGATATTTTGTCTTTTTGTTTAAATGACAGAGCAATAACATCCCTCAGTAGTTCATGCTGATAAAATAGAGTTATCCTTTACTCTACTGACCCCTTGTGGCTGGCAGTAACATGGTTATTCCATTATGTGCTTTTGCTTAAGATTGATCCTTTTAAGATGCTGTCCATATTATATATTGCAGTGTGCCTTTAGGTAGAAGACATGAGCTTACCTATACATCGAGTGCGGGAGTGGTCTAGCCTGAAGCCTGAGTTACATTCACACATGGTGCCAAGATAGGAACGGACACAGCGTCCATTCGCACAACTGCATTCATCAGAGTCCTCCTCAGAACTGTCACCTTCAGAAGCAAAATCAAAAGAGAACATTAATTTTTTTTTTTTTTTTTTTTTTGGTATTTAGTATTACACATACATACAGTATAAGAAAGTATAGGTACAAATTATAGGTACAAACCTGGGTTGTAGTTAGCAAAAGCTGCCAAAAAGTCCTGCTCCCCATCAGATTCAGTTTCTAGATGCATCTCACAGAGGCGGTTAAACATCTCTATGGGAGTAAGGATCATTAGACACATGAGAACCTTGAACAAATGTCAGAGGGCAGCAGACTGACCTGAGTGTCGTTGGGGGCAGGTGTTGCACTCGGGACCCCAGCCACGGCCAAAGTGACAGCAGCACTCAGAGTATGTGACCATGGCTGTCGTGGGATCACTGCAGATCAATCCCTCATCCACTTGATTGAAACACACGTCCTTGTGCGCCGCTGTGCGATCTACTTCAGAAAGACAAAAACATACAAAAAGAAATGTAATAAAAAGAAATGCAAAACCCATACATGTGAACACTGAAAAAAACAAGTGGCCAATTTCAGCACCAGTTTACATGCCATGAAAAACATGCTCTTGGTTGCTCTTTTATTTAGCAGAAAGCAAAAGGAGATATTTCTGACATATCACTTTCATTAATGGACTAGAATGCATCTCTTTCATCATCCAAGAATTGTTCAGCATAAACTTGCTACAGAACTACAATTGGAACTGCTTTTAAAAAGTGTTCTAGCAGTGGGTGTTTTGTAACTGAACAGAAAATCAGCATATGCCACATTTTAAAACTATTTTGGAAAAGTTTGACTTTTCATTTGTGAAAAGCAAAAGTGATTTTGATGGGTCTTGCTCAGTGTGAGCTGACACGGTAGCTTTTACCCACCGTCATAGACGCACTGTTTCTGAGCAGCACTGAAGGTGAACGGAGGGTCACAAAAACAGTGAAAGGAGCCTGGCGTGTTCTCACACCTCCCATTCTTACAGTACGAGGGGTCCTGGCACTCATTCACATCTGCAAAGGGCACCACAGACACTGGTTACAGTCACATCTGCATGGCCAGCTCTGAGCTAAAGGTAACACTAACACAATAACACCTGAGTTTCTATGTCCACTTTAACTCTGAATCCTGCTACTGACGGGAAGAGCATTCTCACAACAGACTAGAGATGAGTCAACTCACTCCATCTGTCAGTGCCTTAACATACAGCAAACCTCCAACATGACACACTGCCAGAATATACTGTAGGAGGGTCTTATCATATCTGTTATGGAAATTATTATGATTAATATCTGTTATACATGTAGCATACTTGATTATATTATTATGCCTTCCATCATGGCCAACTTGTTAAATTGTAATATAACAGATTTTTGCAAATGGTTGTAGGCTATTTGCAGAGAAAATGAATGAAAGTGTAATTTTAGTTCATTGTCTCGGCTGGAATTTTTGCACCAAATTAGGGCACCGGCTCCAATGAGAAAAACAAGGTTTTTTTGTTTTGCTGCATGGGTTTTGGTCAGTTTTAAATCACAGGGCATCTATTGTTCTTCAGGAGTCAAAATATAGGCCTTAAGAATTCTAAACATTTTTGTCCTTTTGGCAGGTTTTTCACAGTATTTAAGTTATTAAGAGAGTTGTCCAAACACTGTTTCCTTCCTAATTGTCATCGATAATCAAAGTGCTGTCTATATGGTGGTCTCTCACCAGCCTGCTCTTCAGGGGTTACACAGCTGTTGCGGTCCGTGGCCAAGGTCCAGGGCGGTGAGCAGATGCAATAGTATGAGCCTGGAGTGTCCACACAGTGACCATTCTTACAGTTGGCAGGATCTTGACATTCATTTAAACCTTAAGCAACAACACAGCCAAGCATTACAAACTTTGAAAGTTTGAGAGCCAAAGTATAAAGAAATATTTACAAATAACTGAATACCTGCTACTGCTTCAAGTACACATTTTTTCTTATTTGAATCAGGAGTCCAGGGCAAGTTGCAGTTACAGAAGAAAGATCCATCAGTGTTAACACAGTGACCATTAGTACAGAGTGACTCGTCATGGCATTCATTCACATCTGAAGAAGAACACATCAAATTGAACAGAACAATATATAATGTGTGAGTATTTAGATCATAATATTTTAATATTCACTTGCCAATGCACTCGAGAAGATTGCTGTCGTAGTAAAAACCTTGTTGACAATAGCACTCGTAACCAGGCAGCGTGTTCTCACAGCGACCCTTTTTGCAGATTTCCTCAGCAAACAGAGCACACTCATCAATATCTAAATGAAAACAAAATGCAGGCTATTACTGTCATTGTATCAAGTGTCTGGTAATTCTTTTCATGTACCATACAATATTATTTACCATGATAGACAGGCAGGCTGTACTGGAGTCCCTCTTCAGAGTAGAGGCCTTGACCATGGGGACATAAAGAGAGGAACTCAGCTGAAGGAAGAAGAAAATAAAGTATGAATGCATATGGTTAAATTATGATTGTAGACTGTATGTATATGGTCAGATTTTTTGGTCAGCTTTTGATTTGAATTTGTATCACTCTACAATTTGACTCATGTTACAAGAATTTTATTTATTTTATTTTTTTCAAAGGAGGAAGGGAAAATGTGAATGTTTTTCATCTATGAATCTTGTTTGATTAATTTATCTTTACACAAAACCCTAATTTACCTGAGTGAGACACAGGACAGGGGTAGATCTCACAGTGGTCACCCCAACCCACTCCGATGGAGCAGCAGCACTCCCGTTTGGTGACATTCGTGGCCAAAACACTGTCACAGAAAACCGTGTCATCCAGGTTCAGATAGCACTCTTTCTTCTCATCCATCACTACTCGAACTGCTGCATGAAGAGAAGAGAACCATATTTACAAGTCAAATCCCAAATGTCTCACCCCATGAAATATACAGCATGTAAAGGAGGCTACCACCTGAAAGGACTATCTCAGCATATGGGCAAAATTGGCATTCACAGAAAAATTTAAAAATAAACAGAGAAAAAAACTGGTTTACACCAGCACCTTAGAGCAGTGGTTCCAGAGCCATTTTGTTGAGGTGCCTCTAACATTGTGCGCACAATTGATGATTACCTATTTCTTATGATAATCAAATCCAAACATATATGTCCATATCTTGCGAGCAGCGGTAGATAAGGTGCAGAGCAAAGAGGGGTTTAGGGCATGACCTGTGACATAGCTGTGCAGCACAAGCATAGCGCACATCAAAAATTGCTTTCACAGAATGGTCTTTTGTGCAAGATTGTATTGTATATAATAATTGTATAATATATTATAATTGTATAAATCACTTAAGTTCTCATTATAGAGAGAGTGACAACCATGTCCTCCAGGATTGTAGAATTGGCTTCTACTACTAATTGGCTAGTTTAGAAGTTGCAGGCCTTTAAACGTGGGTCTACTGCATGCTCCCTGTTTAATTACAAAAGGAACAAGAGCCGCTGTGCAAATATAAGCTCTATTATGTCAAAACAACACGGTAAACCCTTGCATGAATGCACTGCAAACTCCATGCACAAAATCTTGGCGCAGCGGTCCATTGAGTGTCACTGTGTCAATTAGAGCTACAGCACATACATTGCAAAATATAAAACTGATAAAAAAGGTGACCAGAAAAATGTATTCCTGCAGATCATTGATTCAGTTTTTTCTCCAAAGAAAAAAGTTTGATGTACCCCGTGGTCGGCTGTTCTGGACTACCAACCGTAATTAAGCACAGCAGAAGAAACATTAAGGCCATGAACACTGGAAGTAATTTATTATAAAGCACAAGTTACAAAAATAAAAATAATTAACCATTCTCAAATAAAGATATTTTGCATAAATTGAATATAAATTAGATTAACACCCAAGGATTATATTATTGGCCTAAGCCTATTTCAATTAATGAACAATGTTTTCTTTGGTGTTCGAATTTCTCCTATGCCTACATGGAGCAGAATGCCTGTTTAGTGCGAAACACATCTGTTGCCTATTCAGCCCAGTATTCGATCGAGACCTGCGCTGCTTAACTGGTGCCAGTATAACTTCGGCCTCGCTCCCTCTAGAGGACAGCGCATCAGTTGAGCACCATCTGCGCAGAATGCCAAAATAGAGACCACCATGTTCTTGATGGAAGCAACTGCAAAAATAAATTAAAGACTATGGGAAATGAATCTTTCATCCAAATTTGGTTATAAATATGGTTTCACTTAACTCAATTTTATTACACTGCTAATGCGGAGGACAATAGGGGGTCCTTGGCATATTTTCATACCAATAAGGAGCCTTGATATTTTCATACCAATAAGGAGCCTTGACCTCCAAAAGACTAACCACTGTAAAACAATGACTATGACAATTTGTAATACACCATAAAACTAAGACAAAGTAGCCTTTTAAAATACATAAAAAAATATATAGTCACTGTAATAAATCCATTTGGGATATGAGCCTGTTTTATACATTCATGCATTCGTATACAAGCAGACTGCAGGGGCAAGCCAGGTGAGGTGTCATTCTGACACAGCAGTAGTCAGCACTGCCAGTGCCAACAAGGATCGAACCACTGACCTTAGGGTTAATGGGCATTTTACTAAACTTCTATTGCAGAAAAATCAGAAGATAATTGTTTTGTATTTGGGTACTCAGCTGTTGTTAAAGCTCAGGGATAAAGTAGTAAAGGCACTTACCCTCGCAGCTGTGCTTGTCCTCTGACAGGACATATCCGTGATTACAAACACACACATAGGAGCCAGGTCTGTTTTCACAGACTCCGAAGGGCTGGCACAAGCTCCTGTCTTTTGTACACTCATCTATGTCTGAAAGTGAAATTACACACAAAGCTCTCAGTCTTAAATCAAACACCATCTGAGCAATACCCAAATTTTCCCTTTCAAAACAAACATTGCACAACAAGCTTTGCGATTTTTACTTCTTTGGAGTGCCTGGAGTCCATTGTGTTTTAAACATTACTCAGCATTTGGCACATAATATTACAGCCTACATAGCGATGGAAATTTATGGACTGAAGCAGATATTAACATTAAAAAGGTTGAAAATGCTGAACCAAAATATAAAGGTTGGTATGATCTTTTGTGCATCTTTGAGACATTGTCCCTTCAAAATCAAAATTGAGCCTGATATCTGACTTTGCACTAGATTAGATGAATTATTATTTGTGCAGACACACAGTAGTCCTGAGGGTCATCACAAAACTGATGATGCTATTGACTAGTAGTAATTTGTACAAGCATTACTGTAGTATGAGCAGAACCGTAGATCCTTTGAACTGGTTTGCAAAAATCCATGCAACAAAAACATCCACCAGGTATTATGTGTCTAACCTTGGCATCTCCTGCCTCCCACCAGAGAGAATCCTTTGGGACATTCACAGTGATAGGACCCCATACTGTTAATGCAGTGTCCCCTCTGACAGTTCGATGGTCGCTCGCATTCGTTAATATCTGTAGAAATGAAATAAGAATAAGGGCAAAATCAACTATCAAATGCAGGGTCAGATGGAGATTTTTGAGTTCTGAGGTGGTTTTGAGCAATGGACTGAGGTGATCACTATGAATAGATATAGCTGATAAGGGTTGAAATATTCATGCCTTCACAGTGGCTGCCCTCCTGTGTGCGCTGGTATCCAGGGTAGCACTGGCACTGGAAGGAGCCCTCTGTGTTTATGCAACGTCCGTAGGCACAAAGTCGAGAATCCTCACACTCATTAATATCTAGGGGAAAACGTATGTACGTACATATATTTTTAGTGTATTCATTTTTTTGTAATTACAAATAGCAAAGACTGAAGATCAAATCAGAAAGTGAACAAGAGTCACATGTTTCTAAGAGTACAAGCTCTTAGAAATATAATAATAATAATAATAATAATAATAATGACATATGAAGTCTATCTTTTTTGAGTTACTGACCACTACATCCTTTGCTGTCTGCAGATGGGAGGAATCCTTCATTACACAGACAGCGGTAAGTCCCGGGGAGGTTTTCACACCGACCATTAGGACAGATGCCAGGCTTCTGACATTCGTTTATATCTGAAATAAACAACACATTCACACTTTGTGAAAACAAGCATACAAATGTTTAATAAAATTGTTTTTTGAGCACAGCTGAAAAATATAAGCCGTGGTCATAAGCAGAGTTGGAAATTAACCATGAGTACTATGGTAATTATGGAGGCTGTAGCAGATGTAGTAATTATAAAAGCAGTTGCACTAATCTCATTAGTTAGTAGCAACAGGAGTAGTTGGAGTAAAATACCCCTTCACTCATTCATTCCTAATCACATTTTAATGGTATTTCCAACCAATTTTTAAGTCAAGTTATGTGTGAAAATGTGTGCATAAAAAAGATACTGATATTGAAGATACTGACTGACCATAACAGATGCCTCCTTTGGCCTCATGTCCCGGCAGACAGGGCACACACTCATATGATCCTGGGGTGTTCTCACACTGTTCATTGGGACAGGTGTCTGGACTCAAGCACTCATTTATATCTGAATCAAAGACAATAAAATATTTATTATTTGTTTATTTATCTTCAACATTAGTTCATATGGTATTAATACTTATCAGCACATTGTAGTACCTTCACAGGCAGGATGGCGCGGGGACTTGCTCTTAAAGCCGCTTTGACATTCACATTTATAAGACCCAGGGAGGTTCACACAAATTCCCCCCAGTCCACAGATCTCAGGTCGGGTGCACTCATTAACATCTGCACAAATGTGAGTATGAGTTATAACCCACACATGGAGTTTCAGTTAGAGATCTCTTATTCATATTGGCCATGTACTGCGCTTACCTACACACTTGAGCCGGCCGTGCTGTACTATATGTTTGTAACCTTGGCGACAGTGGCATTTGTAGCTTCCTTCCACATTGAGACAGTAACCTCTGCCATGACCACAGGGTTCAGACTCACATTCATTATCATCTAGACAAGAATAACATACAAAATATGTTCATTGTTATAACTTACTTCATAGACTATGTAATTATGTACTTGACAATTTATCATTCTGCACAATGCCCTTTCCTTTCTTGATGGGTCATTTGATTTTAAAAGTTGCAGGTTGTTGGCTAATAATTTGTATTGACCATTTGAACAGGTATATAACAAGTTACTGCTTGTAAGAAAATATAATTGCCCATGCTAGTACCTACCAACATTTGTCATAAAACATTGAGTTCTTATACTACAGTACAGAGTAGAGAGATATCAAACTGGGTTAGGCTGGAGTCAGTGTAGCTGTGCAGAGTCATTCAAACAGCAGAGAGACAGAATTGGCACTGTTTAGGTTGTCTGTGTAGTTTGAGGGCTTTGTGCAAGCAGAGGATTTTAAGACAGGAAATTGAGGGTATTTTGAAAGTGGGAAAGTTCACTTTAAGGGGCACTCTGAAAATTCACCGTGGCAGCTCAGTTTACCAACCATAATTAGCTCTAAGATCCTCAAAACAAAAGTTGCATAATGGGAATGAATGGAAACCTGAGAAATCTGAGAAACTTAAATGACACATGCAAGAGGTTTAATGATAAGTAATTTCTGCACATTTACACTTGCTGTCCAAAATTTTCAGGGCACATGCATGACAAATAAAAAGTATACATCATATATTGTGGTTGTACCCTCGCAGATGTTTCTCAGAGGGTTGAGATGATAGCCTGGGTGACAGTGACAGATGTGGCCGTTCAGGCTGTTCTCACACTCTCCATGACCACAAATGTTCCTGCTCATCTTGCACTCGTCTGTGTCTGCTTCTGGGGCAACACAAAAACTAGTGTTATTCCACAAACATTATCAACAAAATTTAAGAAAATAACACAGTGTGTTATGTCAGATTTCCAGCAATAGTTGTTCTACTTTTATCTCATATATTTTCAAATATTTTCTAATTTCTTCTAATACTTGGTATTCCCTTGTCTGTGATGAATGCTCTCAAACCAATGCAAAAAGTATTCAAAGTTTATGCAAACAATTTATAATATAATTTATATTATGAGAATTGCTATGTTCATGCATATTGTTTTCTGCATGTGCTTTGTGTGCTCTTGGATGAAATGCTTTAAATACCAAAACAGTTAGGATCACTCCTCTCATTAAAAAACATCAGAATGTGAACTTAGCCTTAAGGCCAAATCACGCTCCAGAACACAAACATTCAGAAACACTGACAGTTCACTATAGGCCTATCAACATCTTATTTAAAAAATCAAAGTGACAACAGTATAAAAAATATGAGAAGTATTTCTGCCGAATCAAAATAAACTTACGTGAGACTTTGGTTTGTGTTTCGAAGGGGTCATTGCCTGGAGGAACTCTGATAATGGCTGGAGGAGTGGGTTTAACAACTGTGCATAAACAAAGCAGAAATTTATTTGGAAAAATTTATAGACTGTAATTTGTGCTTATTGAAGTTTAAGTTTACCAGGAACACGGGGAGTACTAGAGCTTGTGGGAGCTGGCTGAGTTGTTTCCTGTTTGAAAACACTTTATTTATCAAAAATATGATATGATATTCAAGTAGATATTGTGAATAAAAACTCATCACTTACTGTCCATTTAGTTTCTGAAACAAGAAAACACAGTTTTAAATTGAGCCTCCTGCAATGTTCAACTTCATGGATGATTAAAACCAATCACTAGCACATTCACCTTCACTAATAAAAACCAAGGTCTCTCTGAAGTTTTTGATGAAGTAGCCCTTCCCAGCAGGGCAGATCTTATTGAAGGCCACTGAACAAAAACAGATTAATTGAAATTGGTTATGTGTTTGCCTGTTGTCCGTACAAATGTATTTAATGTACCTGATTAGCACTCACCAGTGCCCTCCTGGGGGCATCTCTCACAGTTGCGGCCCCAGGCTGCGCCCACAGTGCAGCAGCACATCTCCAGTGTCAGGTCATTGGGCAGCGCGTGCTCACAGCCCGACTCAGACGCCATCCTAAAGCACTGGCCTAGCTCCATGGGAGACTCTGAGGACCAAACATCAGTATTAAACACAGTTACTTGTAATAATAATGATAATGATAATAATAACAACAGGATGTTTACAAGGGGCTCACCCACACACATGTTCCTCTCCAGCACATATCCAGCTCTACACGAACACTGGAAGCTGCCAAGAGTGTTCAGACAGTCTCCATTCTGACAAACACCCTGCAATGTGCACTCATTTATGTCTGAAACCAAGAAAACAAGTCTAAGTAATATCCATTAGTTGTGTATTTAATCCATGTGTTGTTGACGTTACCTTGACAGTGAGTGCTGTTAAACCTTTTATAACCTTGTGGACATGTAGAGCCATACTCTTCAACAATATTCTGCTTAACTGATGCATCTGAAGTAGAAAAAGCAAATGTAAGAAATGGCAGGAACAACTTAAATGTCACATTTCTTTATTCTAAAGATTTTCCATTAAAGTTTCACTACATTCCAAGTTCAAGTTTCAGAAGATGATGGAGTTTGTATAAATTCCCTGAAATAAGAATGAATCACTAACAGGGCAATTGCGATAGACATTCTGGGCAGTTTTATTGGAGAACTATGGGAAGTCTGTGCCCACAACAATATTTGTGCAAACAAAGAGGGGCAATAGTTATGTCTGGCTTTTTCATTACAAAAGCACTTATAAATGTTTTAATTTAACAAAACTCCTCTGGGCAGGAGGCCAACTGTCTGAAGCCTAACCAGACGTACAGTATCAGGTTTAGTCAAAGACCGCCTTGTCTGAGTCACCACTGAGGGATGGAAGAATAGGCGAGTGGAAAAAAATGCGTGCAGCCAAGATTTTTGTGAAATTCAATCTTCAACAATGTGATGACAGTGGAGCTGGGCAGGCTCTGAGGAACACACTTAAGGAGAGGCTTATTTTCCACACTCTCCTCCTCTGTCTCAGTCTGTGCGTAATTCCCATAATTTCTTCCGTTTTTGCCTTCCCAGACACTTGCACACATTTCACATCTCACCACTGACTGATCTGTGCATTTCCATTCCCTTGAACCAATTTTTAAAGATAAAGATGGTAGAGAAAATAGTTATGATTAATTAATTCTTTGCTACTAGAAGAGCTGCTTAAACCTGCAAAACACATAGTACTATATATGGGCTTTAGAACTATTTACTTCAAACTATTTTTCTGATCCAATCAAATGTGCTCTAATACTACATAAAGCTGAGCAATTCTGAGAGGGTGGACCAAGGAAAAATAACACTACTCACTATGATACAAGTGGATCTTATTCTAACGTGGACCCTAAATGATAATAGTTTAGCTATAAGGTTAAAACTTACTTGGTAATTTGGGGCACTGGTAACACTTGTTCTGTCCCCATGAGTTCCCCACGGTGCCACAGCAGTCCTCTTGATTGGTTAACACAGGGAGTGGTGTACTGTTGCACTAAAAGAATAAAAACAATTACAATGCTGTGATGTGATATTTTCAGATGTTAATTAATAAATATGTGATAAGTAATGCTTACTCACAGCCTGTTTGGGCGTGGTCTCCTGGAAGCAGCGGCCCTTTGGTTTGTGCCTTGAAAGTGGCACTCGTGGGCTGGTCTTCACCGGAGGTTTGGTGTCTGCCTGGTCAAAGGGTTGTATGACCACTGAGGTCCCTGGTGTGTGGTGAACCCGCACATTTATCTGCACTAAAATCAGATTCACAATTACAAAGGATCTGTTCTCACTGTTCTCATTACTATTTCACTTTGAATGCAAAATATAAATACTACAGTGCATCACTATACTATCTTAAAATTGTTTTATTAATAGCAGATCTACAGTAATACAATGACAGCTATCCAACTAATTTCAATTTGTATTTTGTCATTTTGATTTGTATTTGTATTTAGTCTCAGCTAATTTTGGTTTTAATTGAGCAGTAATTTCTTGAATGGTGAATGGTGAAAATATAGGCCAGCTGCCACTGAGGTGTTATTGAATTTTGCAATATATTGCCAAGAATATTCCACAATATGGCATAAAACATATCTATCTACATGGAGACAAGCAGATATTGCTAATAGCCCAAATTGCAGGTCAGACCTGCGGAGAGGCAACACTGCTCATAGTAAGAATTTGTGTTTTTCAAGCTATTTCTTTAGCCAAAGAAATATCTGTACTTGAATATATACAAGGAAAGTAAGTCTGATGCTATAGTGTGGAACGTTGCAGGCTAAACAAACCAGAAAAGTAATGTGGTTTTAAACTATGTCTATAATGACATTTCAGTGTCCAAGTTGAAGTGAGTGAGTGACTGCAGAATGTGCATTACCAATTTATTACAATATTACAATATTATAACTACTAACTCTAAACTTTTTAATTATTAAAGACCTACCTTCAGATGAGGGGTGTCCGCCCGGCAGAGTGAATACTGAGTGTGTTTGTGTTATTTGTGTCCTCCCATTCAGAGCCTGGTCCCCATGTTTCTGCATGTCTGGTTTGAGTGATGTGGGGTAGACTGGCTGCTTGTTGCCCCGTGCTGCCTGGGGATGGTGTGTCTGCTGGAGGGGGAACTGGCAGAGACGTCCTGTGAAGCCATGGGGGCAAAGACAGTGCTTTCTCGAAAGGCACACTCCTCCATTTAAACAAGTGAGAGGGCAGACCACTGTGGAGATGAGGGAAAAGTACACCGATCAGGAAAAAATTACCAACGTGAGGCACACCTCATTATCATCAGTTCAACAGCAAAAACAGAAAACATAATGACTATCAATATGGCAGCTAATAATGTTCAGTATAATTAAGTGTAACTGTGGAGACCTTTTAAGTCAGGGAGTTCCAAACTTCTCAGTAAATGACCATAAGCATTCTGTATATAATAATGTTACTTTGGACAGCTTATTTTTTAAATACAAATGCTATTTTAATGTTACCTTCTTTTTTTCTTTTAAAAAAAAAATAGACATAGAGTATGGTACAGGTTACAAACAAAATTAAATACAAAGTAGACAATAGACAAACAATAACAAATAATAATAAACAAATAAGTAATAAAACAGTAACTGAAGCTTGGGTTGGGGAACACAATGACCCTTTTTTTTAAAAAAGCTGTTTCACAATTGAGTTGATGAATGAATAATGCTATGAAGTAACAGGGGTGAGCACATGGTTTGAATTGGGGCTTTGGGTGTGTTTATTATTACCATAACTGCTGCTCCTTCTCTCTCCTTTATTGCAGCTACTATCAACGTTATTATTTGCATTAACTTTAATCACTCTGTCAGTGTCGCTGCAACAATTGTATAGATTTTTAAACATAATTTGTACTGTAATACTAGTTGAATAAGAGGCGGTGGTTTTGTCTGATACTCCTAGCAACTGCGCCCTGTCCGTTGAGAAAAAGGCAGATGTTAATAAGTGATGTAGCAATGGGATCTGAAAGTGATTGTAGTAACAAAATGTTTATATTACTTGTGTTAGAAAGAAAGCAAAAATAATGATAAATATCAGTAATATTGGGAAGAAGAGGCAAGAAGCAGATATACCAGCAACTTTTTGTCTTCTTTTTTTTAGTTACTTCTTAAAATCAACTTGCAACCCACATAATTGTTTTCAACATGCACTTTGGTAATCACTGCTCCACAAGTCACAGACAAACACAATTATTTTCGTTGAATCTCAGTTATGTTCTTCAAATCTATATAAAGGGCTGGCTGCTTTATGTTGCTATGATTTCCTGTGCAGACTCTTATATAACCAATGATTTAGTGTGTAACATGCTCAGTATAAAGGCAGACAGTCTTTGTGGCGTGAGCCGACAGCTTTAAATATTCACTTTGAACTGCTGCAGTGAGAAAGTTTCACCAGGCTGACAGACTAACAGGTCCCTGCAGCTCTGGAGCAGGTAAAGTCATCGAGCTGTGTTATGGCCTCATGCACCATATGGAAGAGGTTTGGGAGCTGTGGGAAAAGGTGGATCAGGACAAGACTAAACAATGCACTATGATGTATGCATTGTGAGCTTTTCAATGAGTGCAATCACACACATGTTTTTGGATCAATTTGTCATAGTACAAAGAGATTCAAAACCGTGGGTCAATAATAGTTCACAAAAATATCAAATTGAATCTGTTTCTTATTATATTGTCTGAAACATTGATCCTGTATGTTTGATGGATGTTAAGGATGCTTTTGGCATTTGTAGAGTGAGTATCAAAAACACACACACTTACACACAAGATTAGATTAAAATAACATTAAACTATCTGACAGCTTCCACTAGTACTACTGCATTAAAACTGAAGGGATTACTGCATTATTCACTTTGTAGCTAAGGTCAACATATTTTCACTTTAAGGTTTCGTTAAACTCATATAGAACAATAGAAGTAAGGAGATGTCATATTGGGTTGTCTTTACAACTGATATCTAGAAGCTAATTAATACTAAAACTAATATTAAACTTTATACTTATTTGGACAAATAAAAAAATCTCTTTAATAGGACAAATTTGGACCTTTCCTGAATAGATTTAGAATAGCTATGATCTATATCAGAACTCATTTCAGACCACATGGTAACATTTAAGAAATTATAATTATTTTTGGTTGAAAATTACAATCTATTTTTAGTATTCTGACAAAACTAGTCAAATCATTAAATACCAAAACTGTATGTCAGAGCAGAGGAGACTAAGTGAAGAGAGTCTCCACTTTGAGCTGCTGAGCCAAGCGCGGGACACATGGAAATAATTATGAACGGCTGATGCGTCTGGGCAAATCATAATTGGACACTACATCACGGTAATCACAGCAGGGACGTCTTTAGTCATAGTAAACAGCACAGCACCAGAAATAAGACAGAGTGGGCACTTTTGAATGACTCATGCAAAAAAAAAAAAAAGCATGATTCTAACTAAGGCAGCAAAATATGTTATTAAAGTATTCATATTCATTCATCACAATATTGGCTAATACAATAATCAACTCAGTAAACTAAATATATATTGCAGTAACACTAAGGTCCCTGACTGGACAGAAATGTACTTTTAGAAACTCTGTTCTCATTCATTTTCTTTATTTACTGAATTAACACTGGTTTTGTCTAATGCAGTTTGATAATAAAAGTTTTACTACATTAAGACAGGTACATAATTGTTTTAAAATTATTATGTCAAAATGTATACTAAAATATCAAAACTAGACTGTTATTACGGTCAATAAAAGCCATATAGTACATCACAATACTTTGCAATACAGTACAACTCCTTCAAATACTCATACTGACATTTCAAAAGCACTATAACTGCAGCAGGTACAAACATGCAGATTTAGACAGAGGCTTTGAGAGGAAATAGTCCCAAAAACCAAAGTACGGCCCACGCAAACTGTTCAGACTTCCTCTATGACATAACAGCTCCCGTTTCCACCGGTCACCATCCACTGTAGGCTGAATATAGAGTCAGACAAGACTGAAATCCAGACACAGAGTGGAGAGAAAACACTTGAAAAACGTGATTACACAATCTCCAAATCCACAGAGGCTCACTCGGAAACGTCTGGTTGGCAGAGGGTTACGACCACATTAATGAGCCAATAAACACAAGGAAGACAGAAAGAAAGTGTGATTTTGTTTCTTTTGGGTAAAGTTTCTTAGGTGTGATAAAGGGGAGGGTTGTGTGAATGAGACCTTTTAAGTGTTATGAATAAGAGCAAAGTTCGCAATATTTCCATTATTATGTAAACACAACAAAAATGTAAAATTATTTCAGAAAAAAATATGCTGGAAGTTTTTACTTTATATGAAATTAGTTTGAAGAACTGATTTGATAATTTTGAGATAAGCCAAATAAAAATTGACGACAGCCACATGGGGTCAGCAAAGGAGCAAATAACTATTTTCAGGTAAATGGATTCAGACTATTGGCAGAGCAATGCTGCTGCAGTTGACACAATTCTGTCAACTAGACAAAAGCTTTTGTATGTCAAAAAAAAAAAAATTAAAAATTAAAAATCAATGAAAACCTTCTGCTATGTGGTGTAATGCCACTATAGAGAGCCAAACCTCCGAAGTTATAAGAAGAAATGAGCTGTTTCTATTATTAAGCCATTTTAGATCAAAATTGTGCTTTCACCTGGACAAAATCATGACATATGTAATAGTTTAATACTAAATATCAGAAGAAATCATATGTCTTAATGAAATATACCATGCTCCTCTACACACTGATTTGTTGGATAGTTTTTGTACATAATGTGAAGTGCAGACACAGGCACAATCAATAACTGATGTCATAATGGTTTAACTGATTTCAGGCTGCTCCTACAGCTGTTAAAACATCCACAGACCTGGATACCGGGGCATCGAAAAAACAGGCATATGGGACCCAACTGTGAGTGCAAAGTGATAAAGGAATTAGAATACACTTTAGACAAAGGTTTCTACCAACAACTACAAATAATCAATGTCTCAGTATTGTATTTTGAAACATTGGTAGTCTCTCTATATACTCAAAATGTAATAGACATTTTGAATTAAGTGGTAACACTTTATAAAATATGAATTCATAAGGAACAACAGTTTATTAAGAATGCTATTCAACTTAGTAACTGTACCTTAAACTTGCTTCCTAAACTTTAGTCCGAACCTTGACCCCTTAATACAGAATAATTCTTAATAAACTATTAATAAATAATTAGTTTATTATTAATTAAGTCTTTCCTCATGCTTTATTAAGACTAATTAAGGTGTAGTTATTATAAAGTGGTATCAAAGATTTAGAAAGATAATATGACATTGGAGTTGATCTACTGTAGATCTAGACTAGCGGAGACCAGGACTTCACTTTAATGACGAGATGACTACTATATATGAATTTCCCAACTCTCCCAGTGCTTTTTAATCAATCTGCAGCTTTACAAAACAGAGCCTTCCTGAACACACTGGAGTGAAACACCTCTCTCGTGCCTCATATTTGGCTCTGCTTGTGCTAATGTCTTCTGCAGATCTGACACTGGTGAGAGCGGGTGTGTGCTGGAGCAGTCTATTAAATGGAGGCGGGGTCTCACTGTGGTCAGGCAGCAGGATTACAAAGAGCACAAAGTTTTAAATTCACATCAAAACAAGAGGAGGTCCCCTTTAAGCCAGACCTCAGAGTTCATTAAAGAAATATATTGTGAGCTTTTGGAACGTGTATATATACATTTAGTCTGAGCTGCTCCTCTTAGTCTGTTTATCTTGGCTTAAACTACAATTTTCAGAAAATGTCTGCCTTTTCACTTACTATGAGAAATTTAAACAGACATTAGGTTTATGCCAGGACAAGAGCAAAACAAAGTGTACACATGGACTAAACCAGGTCAATACCAAGACCATATGAAGTATTGATGAAGTGGTGTAAAATGAATGAAGTAAAATTGATGAAGTAAAAGTTATATTTGTGGCTATATCTACACATGAGTAAACCAGGATAGAACTATGCTAAACAAGTGTGACATTCCACCAGGACTAAACCAGGATTAAATCCAGTCCAAACCAGGGAAAAAAGATCAATTACTCAAAACACATTAAAAACAAGACAAAAACAAGCTAAAGTACAGTAAATGAGCTGAACTGAATAACTGAATATCACTAGAAGAAGCCTGTGTACCTTACCACAATCTGATGC